TTGCTGATTTCTAGTCTGCTAAGTCTCAATCGATACAGCAGTCGTAATCGGCTGCTTCAATGTCTTTTCAAACATCGATGTCTCAATCGATACAGCAGTCGTAATCGGCTGCTTCAATGTCTTTTCAAACATCGATATCTCGAAGGCCAGTGGTATTCTCTTTTCTCATTCAAACTGCCCTCGTCTGTTCAGGTGTCCGTGGAATTAAATCAGATTTATAATTAGATCTGGCCCTATAGTTTTTTTTATAACACGATGCTGTATTCTGTTGGAGTGAAGATAATTTCTGACTACACTTTCAGGTCGCAGAAAATAAAACATCAACTTAGCAGTCTACAAGGGAAATGATTTCATAATATAAATTTAAAATATACCGTTTTTCATATTTCGTTTTGTTTAAGAACTCATTTACGCTGTTGACGTCTGAAGAATATTTTATTTTTATGTGTGGAAAAGCCACGAATAATTAGTTCACTGTAGCCGCAGAGATACGTAAGTATTTCGCTGATGTGGACCACCAGACACATCGAATTTTGAGTGATTAATTCAAAGGAGAATAGACCGGGCAAGGAATTAATCACGCAGAACGGAAACGTTGCATGAATACCTAAGAGAAAAGGACCACTTGGTAGACCATACTTGTAGATGGGAGGACAATATTAGTGTAGATCGTAAGTAAACAGGGTGGGAAGTTGTTAAATGGATTCATCTGTCTCAAGATAAGGAACTGCAGAGAGCTTTTTTGAACACGATAAGACATCTGCTGGGAATGTCTGACTCGCAAGAAGTACTCTCCTTCATGAATTCAATTGTCGATATCTCTAAACGGTATATTTCGTGCGTATCGTAGAAAGGGTTAAGAGAAACTTGTTATTTTTTGTATTTTTGTACAATCATATTTGTTTAAGTTAACATGGCTGCTAACTGGTTTCAGCACGCCGAACAGCGACAACGGATACCCTCAGATAAGCCGGACGGGAGTCCTCTGCTGTCCATCTCTGAGGTGACCAACACACTCCTCAACCACGAGTAGCAATGGTGAGCATTTTTTTCTTGAGAATCTGTCAGTAGCTCAGCTGGTTGAAAAAGTTCCTACCTGTTGTGAAACTAAAAGTTTTGCTATGTTTATAATTGCCATTAGCTGGACCTTACTCAGAACCACTTGAGTCCATTTTATTATTTTTTTGATTTTATTCGTTGCCTAGGTGTTATTAAAATCACGACGGTTCAGAAGTCAATTTTACTACATTTTTCAGGTGAAATGAGGGCAAAAGGTAATTTTTTGCCTCCATAACGAGAAACTATGAAATCTGGACTCTATTATGGGTTCCAATACAGTAGGCTTTTAACCTTATTTCGGATGAAGACTTAACGTAATGTATCGTGTACTTTTTTTTTAAAACCTTCGGTTAAGTTCATTCATTCCCTCACATCCCACTTTGGTCCCTTCCTCTTCTCCTCCATGTCTTCGTTGCGCAGGGGAAATTTCATATTTTATTTTCAAGTTGCCCTTCAAATAATATTTTCCTATCTGGTATTATGACTATAGTTTGTACGCATTTGTCAACCCCTTTCGCGTGATACATAATCCGCCAATATCACATTCATCAATTTAATTATTTTAATAATACGTGGTGAAGACTTCAAATTAAGGTGCAGCACCTTATTTTGCAATGTTGCCATCTTCCTATTTCTTCGTTTTTCCTAGTTCCAAAGATCCTCCTCGTCTCTGTGTTGTCTGATTACGTCAATCTGTTTGATTGTCTTTATCGTGAATAATCAAATTTCACTTCGATACAGGAGTGCAAGTAAAATTATATTTTTGTAACTTATTTCTAACCTGGATGTTCAGTATCAATTTCACCATATGCTTACCTTTTTTCGATCACTTTTTAAAGCTGCAAGTTGTTCTTCTACCAAAATTATTCCATCTTATGCTATTTTTATTTTCAATAGCGTAAGTATGTTTTTTAAATTCTCAAGGTCATTTGTTGAGTTTCCAAAAGCTGTTCGAATTATGGACTATTTCGTCAGCAGAATCTTTTCTTTTAATGAGATTGATGCATTTTCATGCCTCCTTTTTTATGCTTGGCTTTCAAATAGCACAAAAACTTCAGAAATGTAGTGGAACGAGCATTTCCTGAATTTCATTTCCTTTCGAATACTGAATGATTGTAACTTTGGTTTGTTCGAATATCGACAATTTCAGAAGGCTGTTTCCAGCCATCTTGTTACAACGTTGTACTGCTAGTGTTTCTCCCATTCCCGCATTGACATCATTAGGGTACGTAAAATTGGTAAGTGGGGTGTTTATTTTTATTTTCAGGTTGGGCCATGTGAAGTCTTCTCCCGGATGTGAGAAGGTATAAGTGTTACGTCATGTCCTGTCTGCCGAATTACACGAACATTATTATTATCGCGCCATCTTGTTCTAGAAATCAAAATAAGAAATATACATATTGATATCAATATTTCGCTTTAATATAATAATTATTATATTATCATAGCTGTGTGTGTGTAAAATCGTCCGTGATCTTTGTTGTATACATATTTGTAAATCATTCTCGTAATTAATATATACGTGTTTTCTGTGATATATGTCGAATAAAATTACTGTAAAATACTAGCCTCTATTGATAAGTTTTAAGAATCACTGTAAATCGTGTACCATGATTTTAAAACTTGCATAATATATATATACATATACATACCTCATTCATTTTTACTTTTCAGAGATAATACTCACTGTATATTCTTCAAACAATAATAATTTGAGTTTTTGAATAATTTTAATACGTTATTGTATAGGCCTCCTATACATAACAGTTGGTTACGTACAAATGGCGGACAAATGTTCCGTAGAACTGTGTATTCATGTGTATTTCCGGTAATTAAATATAATGGGCGTGAGCTAACTGTTTTGTAAAAATAGTCCATGCGAAATTGATTCTAGAGATCTTAACATTATGCACCTTTATTCTAGTCCTGCTAGAATGCTTGTTTCAAAATTTATTATAACAATTTTTTATATTAATGCAAGTTCAGCTTTAAAAATAGGCTAATTAATATCTTCTTATGGAATTTATGTGTTTTCTTGGTAATCTGATATGTTACTGTTCTTGCCAAACCATTTCCTCAATTCGGTTATTATAACCATCGTAATTTAGACGCAGATGACAGATTTGTTGTCGTCAAATGCAAAGTACTGGCCGATAAAAGAGTACACAGCGGTGCATGTGCACTTATCAGATCAGTAAGAAAATATTCGTGAAAGAAAGTTCTGAACTTTGACGTCTACAGACGGATCTAGTGACTGTTTGCTTCATTTATACTATGAAAAATCTAGAGATGGGAACAAACTGTAAACAACCTAACCCTTTAAAGCACGATAATCATTGTATGCGCTACCTGTTTTACCTTTGCGTTTTGATCAGAGATTATCTATGCGATTTATATGGTTCTCGCGATTAATAGAAATTATTTTCCTGAACGTAATTTTCCAATTGATGTTTGTAGTGAAGACAAAGCTGTGTTTTGTTTTAGATGCGGATTAAAATTTAAAATGTATAATTTTAATATTATCGTGCTTTAGAGGGTTATTTTTTTGTTGAACCCTTAAAGTTTCGATGTCTCGCAGGATAGATCATATTTTTTGTGTCCTTCCTTGTGTCATAATAAGCTATAGACATTATTAATTTTTTAAAACCAGTTTCAGCTTTATGAATTTAAATATTATAAAATAGTAGTTGCCCATTGTAAATAGTAAACAATTATAACGAAACAATGTCCAAAAAGTAAAAATATTTGTCCGCTGATGGTTAAATACAGCAAGAGTATGAAATATTTATAATAAAATAAACTTGTATTCTTACCAGGGTTGCCACTCCACGAAAACTTTCTTCCTTTCCTGATCAACCTATACAGCATTTATACCTCGTTTTAACCTGTTTTTAACTTAATTTACCTCTATACATTACTTATAACCTAGAATTTATTTACATTCTCTATTATTCTACGTCTTTAACTTTAAATAGATGCCACGACATCCAGGACTACAAACGAAGAAGTTTTGGTAACAGAACTCGAAGGTTTAACATCACTAGTACTAAAAGTTACCATTAGACATGATTTGGATCACGTCTCACATACCTCCCGACTTCCAAGTCAGGATTTTGCCCCGTGAAGCCTTAAAGAAACTGGCCGACGTTTCAGATATGCTTACAATCTACATCTACATGAAAGAACAATCTCAGCTTTTCCTCAGGACCTATCAAACCCATACATTTTAGATTCATAATCATATACTGAAACGTAGGCTTTGTCTAGTTTGCTGTTACGTCTTCTAATTGTGATATCCAAAAATAAATTTTTTGGTTGTTAGATTTTCATTACAATTGGTTTTGCACAATTTATTAAAGAATATATTTGATTGGCCGTGGGGCTTTGGTCAATTAATAATGAAATTTTACGTTTAGATTCGATGATTTTCTTAGGGTCCTATTTTAATTTCCTCCCATATACGTATAAAATGTGTAGCAGCTACCGCGACAATTATATTTAAAAATTGACATAGTGATAAAAAGTTGTTGATATTCATTTTATTTATGCTATAAACTTTTCGGTATAAAAAGATTCAAAATCTGGAAGTCCTATTCTTATTTTAGTTCCATACCTACATATAAAATAATATACGTAATTATTTTGGTTTCATGTCGCCAAAATAGTGATAATGAAAATTCAAACGTAATCCAGAAGGAACTTCACTTTTTCCTTTTAGAAACCGACATTCTCGAATTAGTATCGGATAAGGGGTATACATGTCAGTGCTTTGAATGCGAAATTATACTGTGCTGCTGTGACATCTCATTTCGTTACTACCATCATCGCCTGATGATGGAGGCAGCAACTACCTCTGAAACGTCGGTAAACTTCTACCAGGCTGCACAGTGCAACAACCCAGAAGACATACGTCGTCGGAAACTTCTTGTTCTCTCACTTGCCAGACGAATAGTTTCATATCATATCGTTTCAGAGGACCCTGCTGCCTCCATCATCACATCCGTTGAACGGTTGTTGACGTCATCCACAGTGTTGAGATCTGTCAATGTTCTTGTGAATTATTCGTGCTGCAATTAGTGGCTTGGTTATCCAACATCGTATGTTGAGTTGTGTTATCAAATGTTTTCAGGGGAAGTCATATTTTATTTAGGATAGGGAATTATACAGCTCTTCTAAAATTAATCATTGCGCTTCGATGTTAATATGCGCATTGATTTCTTCATATTGAGACGATAAATGTGTGTACCTTCATAACATGGATATTGATAGCAAATTGCATATTGCTTTTATTGTTAATTACTGTTTCTTTTATACATTTATTGACACCACGTTAAGTAGTGTGTGGTATAAAGAACACCTTGATAACTATTCTGTATTCATCCATACCAACGAGCAAAATACTAGACGGAATAGAATGGAATTTATTTACATTCCATAGATTTTTTAGTACAAGCCAAGGATAGTAACACCGATACCAGCACTCCTATAATACGAATACATAGTTTGCAGATACTTGAATAAATATTTACAATATGTAAAGATTTTTGATTGAAGAGAATTCTTCTGTAGATTAGGAGTGAGACTGAAGATACAGGCAACTCAGGGTTTACGAACTAGTTCCGTTCCAAGACTTTATTCGTTATACGTTTTTGTTCGTTATGTGTATCTTGCATTCCTGAGCTTTTACGATACCTATCGTATACAATAGCAGCCATTTTAAAGCATTAAAACCATGTACTAAACATCGAATGGTCTATACAATACGTTTTAATATAATGTATACATGCGTTTTGGTTTATCGTATACGATACGTAACGTACGCTTCGCGGCGTGGCATGTAAACCGTTTTTCTACTGGCTAGATTAGTTTTATTAACCAAGAACAGTTAAGTATAATTATCATATAATAATTTTCTGATAATTATTGTAATAAATACATTTTTTAAAAGTTTATTTATTTAAATCTTACAATTATGTTCACTATACGTTTGGCATTTCGTTTTATAAGAAACTCTATCTATTGGCGACTTTAAGAAATTTTGAATGAATTGTGACTTTCGTTATAGCGAATGTTCGTAAATCGAACGTTCGTAAACCGAGAGGTGCCTATTCTTATTGAATTAGATTTACCAAAGAAGCTAGTGAGTCTAATAAAAATGTGCTTAAATGAAACCTGTAGCAAAATTCCTGTAGGTAAATATTTGTCAGAGACATTCTTCATCAAGAACGGTCTAAAACAAGGCGATGCCTTGTCTCCCTTGCTCTTTAACTTTGCGTTAGAATATGCTATCAGGAAAGTCCAAGATAGGCAGGAGGGTTTGCAATTGAACAGGACACATCAGCTTTTGGCATATGCTGATGATGTTAATTTATTGGGGGACGATATTAATACAATAAAGAGGAACGCAGAAGTTTTACTAGAGGCTAGTAGACAGGTGGGGCTAGAAGTAAATTCAGAAAAAACTAAGTACATGTTAGTATCTCGTCGTCAGAAGACAGGCGGGCAAAATTATCTTAGGGTGGCTAATAAGTCCTTTGAAAGGGTTACAAAGTTCAAATATCTGGGAACAACAATAACAAATCAAAATGACACTCATGAGGAAGTTAGGAGGAGATTAAATTCTGGAAATGCTTGCTACTTCTCAGTTCAAAATATTTTGTCTTTGATTTCTAAGAACCTGAAAATTAAAGTATACAAAACAATAATTTTGCCTGTTGTTGTGTATGGATTCAAAACATTATCTCTCACTCAGAGGGAGGAACACAGATTGCAGGTGTTTGAGAATTGGGTGTTGAGGAGGATATTCGGGCCTAGGAGGGAAGACGATGGGGCACGGAGAAAACTGCATAATGACCAACTTAAAAATCTGTACTCCTCCCCCAATATTGTCAGGGTGATTAAGTCGAAAAGAATGAGATGGGCGGGGATGTAGTGCGCATGGATGGCGCAAGAGGTGTGTACCGGGTATTCGTTGGGAAGCCTGAGGGGAAGAGACAGCTGGGGAGACCTAGACGTAGATGAGAGGATAAAGTCAGGCGGTATCTATGAGAGATAGGAGTTGAAGGAGACTGGATTTTGTTGGCCCAGGTCAGGGTCTGGTGGAGGGCTTTGGTTAATTCGGTGATGAACCTTCGGGTTCGGCAAGCCATCCAGTTAGTTAGTTAGTTAGTTAGTTCACTTATCTTTACAAAAGTTCATGTCAGAAGGGGTCAGAAAATGAAGATTTCTGTCTTCTGGGTTATTGCGCTGTGTAATCTTGTCGATGTTAACCAACGTTTCAGAGGTCATACTGCCTCATCGCCCTGATGACGGAGGCAGTATGACCTCTGAAACGTTGGTTAACATCGACCAGACTACACAGCGTAACAACCCAGAAGACAGAAATCTTCATACTCTGATGACGGAGGCAGTATGACCTCTGAAACGTTGGTTAACATCGACCAGACTACACAGCGCAACAACCCAGAAGACAGAAATCTTCATACTCACCGCTGTGAAAACCTCAAATCTTATGGGTCAGAAAATGTTCGCGGGAAAATTAGTTAATACCGTCCCAACAGATGCCGCGGCGATTCACTTATCTTTACATTAGATCATGTCTTTGCTAATAGAGGGCGACGCAGGTCAACCTAAGCTTTGAGTTTTCGATGTTTCTACTCGGGTAATAGGATACCCAAGGAGGTAAACGGGTCAGAAAATATTCGCGGGCCCATTAGTTTATACAGTCCCAACAGATGGCGCGGCAATTCACTTATTTCTACATTACTTCATGTCTTTCCCAATAGATGGCGAAGCCGGTCACCTAGCTTTGAGTTTTCTATATTTTCTATCCGGGTTACAGGATACCCAAGGAGGTTAGCGGGTCAGAAAATGTTCGCGGGCTTATTAGTTCATACCTTCCTAACAGATGGCGCGACAATTCACTTATCTTTACATTAGTTCATGCCCTCGCTAATATATGGCGCGGCAGTTTACTTAACTTTACAACAGTTCATTCCCTCGCCAATATGTAGCGTGGCAGTTCATTTATCTTCCATGTATGGTGGGAGTTCCGACGTACCACCGCATGGCGCGACCTCAGGTTGCGGGTAGAAGCACGGTCTGCAGGTAAGGCAGTTAGCTGCAAATATATTGAATAAGCAGTCGTGGACAGCGGAAGAGGGGTGGTCCTCCAGGTTGGTGGTTGGGCGTAAGGCTAACAACCTTTCACCGTAAAAGAACACTGTTACGAACACATTAACTAAGCCTCGGACCAGGACGGATCCTTTGGCACGACCATGGCAATTGAAAAAAGGATATGAGATATGGAACTTCGAACATTAGGAGTCTCTATAAGGCTGGGGCACTGAAATCAGAGTAGGGAATTAGAGAATTATAAGTTTGATTTCACATTTTTCTATGGAAAGGGGAATGACAGTCATCAGTTAGGGACAGTTTGTTTTTGTTCATAGCAGAATTAGAGAAGCAGTTAAAAGAGTACAATTTGTCAGTGACAGGTTGTCTTATGTAATTTTGGAAGGACGTTGGTGCGACATCATTGTCCTTCATGTTCATGCCCCAACTGAGGACATAAGCGATGATATCAAGAATAGCTTTTATGAAGAATTAGAATCAGTATTTGATACATTTGGCATGTATCACATGTCAGAGCAGTAAACTTCGCTACGTCGAAATATTTAATCGTAAAAAGTACATTTCCACACCGTGATATTAATAAATACACTTGGACTTCTCCAGATGGTAGCACACATAATCTAATAGATCGTGTTTTAGTAGATAATAGAAGGCAGACAGATGTAACTGGTGTGAGATCATTTAGAGGGTGAGATTGTGACACTGATCATTATCTGGTGGTAGCAAAAGTGAGGGAGCAGTTTTCAGTAAGTAGACGAAGTAAACAAAATTTCGACACAGAAAGATTTGATTTGAAAAAATTAAATGAGGGAGAGGCGAAGGAACAATATCAAGTTGAAATTTCGAATAGATTTCAAATTTTAGAGACAAATAAAGATAAAAGTGTGGACATCAGTTCAGAGAAGAAATGAGAGTTCAGTGGGACCATACATCAATTATTTGTAGATTTAAAAACAGCCTATAACTCTGTGAAGAGAGAAGTGCGTTCCATGTTTCTGGGGAATTTATATTTCAGTAAGGAAAATTTCCAGGTTTGTGCAAATAAATTTTAGTACCTTTGCAATCGATCCTTGGAGTCGAAGTTGTTTCAAGATGGAGCACGTTACGTTTAGAATTGTATTACACTTGGTCTAGTACTTCAGGCATGTACGAGAGATTTGTTTTCTGATAAAAACTGTCACTGACAATTGGATTTCCAGAAATAACAACTGTTTATTTGACCGTAACGATTTTGTATTAACAACGATGCTAATTTTGACATGACATGAAGAAACGAGCGGATTATGATAAAAATGACGTGTGGAGGGAGAATTATCGAAAAGTAGGCTTATGCTTTCGGTGGAGAAAATGAATGACAATGACACAACAGTAATTAAGGAATCTTGTATTATGGACAGCAAACCAATAATAACATGTAAGTATACAAAATTTTACCTTTGTTACGTGTATTTCATATCCACGTCTGTACTAGAGGCTGTGCTTAACAGGTAGTCATTAATGTCCAGTACATTTATTATAACACTTTGTTTTAGTTGCAGGTGATGTAGCTCTGTTTTCAAGTTTGGAAGCGTCCTTGGTGCAGGCATTACCTCAGGATTCTTCTGAATGGAGGAGGTCCTATGGAAGAGCTGTAAAATCTGTTTATGTTGAAGCATCTTTCATTTCCTTTAGTAAGGATATTCTTCCAAAACAAGGAGATTGGCATTTAATTCAACAACCCATATTTCACATTTTTTGGACGGAGTGTGTGGTATGTACAGTGTTGTGAGTAGTATAGTTACTTTTCCTTTGGTGAGATGATAGTAGCTGATGAATTATTTCATCTTAATTTATGGTGACATGTTAATGCATCTGCCATTGAAATTAAAATTTACTCTGCCTAATTGATCAGATCATAAAAATTAACCATACCAGTGCTGAGCACTTAATGCTTGTTGAACATATTACAGGCTGTGTCTAATAATTTTTTCTTCATTAAATCACAGATGTTTTACAGGTTGCAACTGTTGTTCATTGTACACTGTACCAATTTTCAGAATCACCCGCTTATATTTATAAGGGGGATGGTTCACTACTTCTATAATTTTACTCGTACATATGTGAAATATATTTAGATTTGGATTTTTATAAGTTAAGTTATGTATTGAGAATAGAGGATGAACACAAATGATGTGAGTGGTTTCAAATATTTATTTGACAGAAAATAAATGTCATAAAAAAGTGAAACGTCCACCACTGGAAGGAGAACTTCAATAAATATCCTTGTACTAGTTCAACGGAATCTTTCATTGGTTGAGTTGCCATTTTACTGTCGTGTGAAAAGTTATATTCCAGGTGGCTATCAATGGAGTTACATCAGTTCTGCATGATACATAACACTTCTTGGAGTGCTCTTTTAAGTCTGATGGCCATCTATTTTTTGTTAAATATATATTTTAAACTGCTTAGTTTTTGAATGTTAAGTGAAAATTATATATAGCAAATTTATACTTAAAGTTGCAACAGGTTACAGCACATTATGTTGGGTCTAGTAACTGCGACGGAAACTATTGACAGAATTTTAACAAGTTGGATACATTATGTCAAAATGATTTTGGTATGTATGTGCAGTATGTTAATGAATTGCGATAAGTGAATTGTAGTGAGTTCTGTGGTGTACATCAAGCTTACTCATATCACATAATAAGCATACGTCCCAATACTCATAATCGGTATCCAGGCTTAACTGTTTAGGGTGGAATGTATAAGGGCCATGCATTATGGAAGAACTTGCAGTCTCTGGTGTCCATACACTTCTTGTTACTGGCATGTGCAATGTAGATGTTATCAGTATAAGGAACTTTTGAATTGTCATTGAAGTAAAACAGTAGATTTTTAGTTAGATTGTACCTTTAGTTGTGTTAATGTTAGACACAGTGAGTAGCTTCAAATGTAGGCCTTGACATCTTACATTGATGTTACATGGGCGAAGTCATATCTTTTTATTGAATGCCATGCCAGAGAAGCTAATTATCAGATTAAAGTATGAAGTCTGCTCTCCTAATATGTGCTGCTGAGTCTCTCACCTTCAACACTGACAAATTATTAAGGGACAAATATGCCAGGAGTCCCAAAACACCAGTAGTTGGAAATGAGGACATGCAGTTTGTTAATATGAGTGAATATTGCTAACCTAGTTAATCTAAATTCGTTTGATAATAAAGATGCAGGAACTTGTGAATTTGTAAAAAAAAAATGGATATATCTAAGAGAGACAGTTTGTTAAATCAATCAATTAATTTATTGACATTATTGAACCTTCAGGTTCTGTTGTCACAGTATTTTCAGTGTTTTTGTACAATTTTTTTAGTGTTTGTTATAGCTGAAGTATGGTAATTGATATTCTTTGAACTTATACCAAGTATTTATCAATTCTGATGTATGAAGTGAAGCTTTCGCAGTGACCAAAGTTGGTGAAAGACTCTCAGGCAACACGCCATGTCAGTTTGCTGAATGGTGAATGAACCATTTCTTCCACCAACATTTCGACAGCCATCTCTGCTCTCATCCTCAGGGCAGCTTCAAAATAAAACTGGTCCTATGTAGCGCGCTTGCCGATGGGTTGTTGCCTGAGAGTCATCAGTTTATCAATTCTGTTTAGATGCTTTTCAGTTTCGTTATTATTCTTATTTTTTGAGTTTCTAGGTGTTCTTCACATTCTTCTGTCTCTCTTTGTCTGTCATATTTTTTAGCAACATTCATATTGTTATTCGTATTGCCATTCTTATTCCTGTTGTTAATATTATTCCTTCATTTTTGTTATTATTGTTAGTTTATTGTTATTTTCAAACATTGACCTCAAATCACCTTAGTGTCACCATTACCTGATATGAAATTAGTGAAACTGTAACCGAAGACACAGCTTTGATACAGTTATGGCATTTGTTATTCCCTTTTTTGCCTTACTGATTTTGTGACTCATGATGTGGCATGAACACCTTTGAAATGGAAGTGTACTCCAAAAATTATGCCTTCACAGTCCTTTGGCACCAAGATGTCAACTGGATAGATGCGCTTCTTTTAGTTTTCCCTGTTTGTGTTATAGGACAAGTGAAGCATTCTGAAAAGTAAGGGTGAACTTGTAAAAAGCAGGTTTAAAAAATGACCTTATGAAATTTGTGTACATATAAATCATTATGCCTTCCCCCACAAATTATATTCTAATTAATATAACAATATCAGAAGGAAACTCCGTCCTTTGGGCTTGGTGTATCTGCTTTAAAGAATATGTCAAGCAAGAAAGGAAAGAATTTTACAGTTCTGTTGAATTTGCCTCTACTATTCTGAATACCTCAATTATCTGTCTCGTTATGAGTAATTAGAAGACCTATTCTGATGCTGTTATTTTTATGCTGTACTGTAATTATCACTGAAGAAAGAAAATTAAGTCACCTGTGTGAAATGTATGCTTTCAGGATTTGGATGCATATAAGACAACAGTTCGTGAAGAAATTGAAGCCTGGCTAAAAATATTAGGCCAACATAACATTCAAGATTGGATGATTGTTCTTGTAGAGACATATGATATTAGGAAGACAAATAAATTATTACCTAGAACCACAGTTCTTGATAAAATAAGGAGTGACTTTGCCTCAAAACATGGAGATAGGTAAATGTAAAATGGATGTTAATTTTTTTAAATGTTGTTTGTGTCAGTCTGTGGAATTAATATATAACTTCTTTTGATGTGGCAGGTGTTTGTCTGTGATCAATCCCATTCGATCAGAATCAAGATCTGCGGAATCTTGGCGTGGGCTGCTTGCTAGGATCAGACACCTGCTCCTCTTTGCTTATAATCGTACTCTGATAAAATTTGAAGAAGTGATAAGGGACCAAAGGGAACGTCGTAATGAACCAGGCTGGAACTTTTGTCAGTATTTTCTTCTCCAGGTAATTTCTCATCTCATCTCTACTGTTTGTATAACTGAGTACAGAAATTGGTTTGTTTTCGTAAATGTGAAATCAATCTTGTAACGTAATGACTTACGTCATCTTGCTCCTGAAAATGTTTAAATTACGTCTGTGTTTCCTTTGAATTGGTGAGGCCAAAAAGTATTGCCTTTTTATGTGGTACTGGCCCTAATGAGAGTAGCCCTTGTTCACATTTGTGTGAATAACTTGCTGGTATGTAGAAGACTTTCTCAATTATCTCACATTGTGCTACATTTTTAAGATCCTTTATCCAAAAATATTTTATTTCTGTCTTTGATAGAAATAAGTGGGTTATGGGTTGGACTTTTATTTTCACTGGAGGCATGAACTTTTTACCTCAATGTACAGACTGTGTCTGGGCACCGATGCCAACCACTCACCTTACTTAATGTTATGATCAGGAATCCATGGAGCTTTACCTCCATTTTCCTCTCAGACACACACTCACCCCCATCTAGTACCGAGGTTAGGAATGAGTAGGAGCTATACTGCCTCTCCCCCAAGTGCTTACATGGTGTTTAGTGGGACAGCTTTACTTGTCGGCAAAATTCAGCAGTGGTTATGTTTCTTACCCATGCCTCTTCTGATTCTTTACTAGATGGCTCTAGCAGACAAATCAGGATCGAGTAGAAATTGTGCAGAGACAGTGGGCTTATCACTCACTGCTCACAAATGCACTCTTCAAAGACTAATAAGGATAAGTTGCCTTGAGCAACTGTCCTGGAATGGGTCAATGGCCCAATCCTTGAAAGTAAATAATGATAATTGGTAATTTTTCCATTTCAGGAGGAATTGGCTTTTGTGTTGGAAATGTTAGGTCTCTATGATGAAGCTTTGGTTCAGTATGATGAACTGGATGCAGTCTTCACACAATTTGTGCTCAACTCTAATGTTGGTGGTAAGGTGAAATCATTTCTGTGTTTGGAAAAATAATAGGGGCTAAGAATTTAAATTTTCTGAGCATGTCTATAGCAAATTTGTGTTGTGTGCAGATACTCCAGAGTGGCTGAGCAGCTTCCAGTGTCCATTTGAAAACTGGTCTGGTTTGGTATTGGGTCAGACTGTGAACCAGACGCAAAGGTCTTTACTGAATGACTGTAAGGCGTCATTACTTGAGTTCCGCAGCTACCTTTTCTCCAGACAGTGTGCTATGCTTCTGCTCACATTCAAACCTTGGGAGGTAAGATCCCTAATTATTCACATGATAACATGATTACAGAATGTCACATGAATAAAACTTTGAGTAAATTAAATTTGTTAAATATATTTTGTTATTGAATTCAGAGCCTCTTTCCTTCTTGTCTTACTCAAAGTTTAAAAATTGTACTGTATACTACTATAATTTTTACCTTCCTTTTGTATGTACAGTAAAAACCGAAAAACATTCCTCCTTTATACACCACCATTCTCACATTGCAGCCACAAAAGCCTCAGAACATAAATTTCAAAGGGAATTGACAGACATTTTGTAACACATTACTGTTTAGTTATAGCTCAAGCGCTGCTTGATGTGACGTACATGCAAGCATTCTGGGAAGTTAATTGTCACACGTCGTACAGTTGTAAAAACATCGTACACCAGCATTTTCTGCGTTAACAGATAAAATCTACCCATATAAGAAACCACCCGTAGTTTCTTTAGCAAAACCCATAAATATGCATTGGTGTTATATAGAGGGGTTCTGTATTGGAGTGTGACTTTGCTTCACTCATCTTTCCACATTATTTTTCTTATAGTTTTGTATCTGAGTATTTCAGCATGTTTGTTTCAGATAGCTCAACGATCCTTGCCCTTTCTTCACAACTGCATCAAAGAGCTGGAAATTCTTGAGATATCTACCCCACCAGGGGCTGTTGCTTGCTGGGTGTTCCTCTGCTGCCTGGAGGTTTTACAAACCTGTGAACGTTTCAATGACAGTGGTCAAGTAGAAGCATATTCACTTTACACAGCAAGTCTATGGGCTTATGCTCGAGACAAGGTTAGATTAACTAATGAACCATGTATATGTTATTGTTTTTTTAAAAAAAACCTTGTATCATAACAGGGGCATGCTAAATTGAATTGTGTTAGTAAATGCTAGAATCTTGGATTTATATTCTGCCAAGATCATAGTTGTATCCGTGTGTTTTTCATCACCATTTATTAGTCTACTTAACCACCAAGTTACTTATTATGTTGGGAAACTGAGTCTGTCTGTCTTTTTTTTTCTCCCTCCCCATTACTATTATGCTTCTTGGAACTCATACAGCTGGTATTATTTGAAGTTCTTACGCTTTGGTAATTTGCACAACATTGCTATGATGACACATGGGACACAACTGGTATGTATTCAGAATTCTTGATCTTCTTAGGACTTTGCACTATTTGGATTTATTATACAATTTTTAAGTTCTGTGTCAGTTCCCAGTTTACATATTACTTTACATCATTTGCTGCTCTCCATTATATAGAGAATTTATGGCCATACATCTCTTTATGCCTGTATTTGCGTAGAAATTATTACAATGTGGTGAACAGTGCAAACACTTCCAAAAGCCAAAACTTTAATTCATGCACATAACCTATGTTTCTAGCTGCGTGACTTGGGTCAGCTGTGTGGCCTCATGCCGGGCTGTGATCCTACTAGTGAGCAACTGCACACAGTGGTTAGTCTCTCGGGTGGAATGGGAGACTGTCAGGGGAACAGCAAGCAGCCTACACCCACAGACAAATTGAAGGAAGCTCTCTCATCCAAAGAAGCTTTTAGGAAACATTATCTGGTAAGTGTGTCTAGCCTTTGATATCCATTTTGATATTTTGCAGTATCCTCAGTACTTAATGGTACATTCTGCAAAACCACACATTTCAAACTATTCTTAAATTCATAACAGTGAAATTTTTGCCAGCTACCAACAGCTATAAAACTGAATGATAGTGATAGTTTTAACATATTAAGAGTCAGAAATAATAGCGGAAACTGACAGTCTGCTTCCAGTTTCTTTTCTTATAGTTCAATAATAAATTGATTTGCAGTCTAATGGTATATTTATCTGATAGTCCCACAGTTTTCATTTCTCCATCAGAATACCCCAGGTCATTAGGGTAACACTAAGATCAGCAGAAGCACAAATGAAAGAAAGAGAGTGCATTTATCGCCCAGAATTCTGTTACACTTGCAGGATGTGACTGGCAATCCTGTGGTCTTTTGCGGGATCTCTGATTACACTGGGGTCAGCAGAAACACTCAGTGAATGCGCATTACCTAGACTTTACCCAAAAAGAAAATTATAAACAGTGAATAACCACTAGAATCGTATTCAACTGAAAGTCTGATATCCACACAGCCAAACAATTTACAATGTAACAGTTTCCCCCCTGTGCACTGAAATTTCTGCTGTGTAGATATTTATGCACTGCTTAATAATCACACGGTTATCAGATCACTAAGAGAACAGCAGCTTCCAGATACAACATTATAGGCGAGTTAAGTTGCTTTGTATATGTTCTTGCCTCATGTAGACCTCACATTGAACTTCATGTGTTAAAACACTATTTCAGTGAATGACAAAATGCAATAGAATTTTTATTGATTTTTTGTGATTATTTTTACTGATAGCTTCAGTAGACTGAATTTGGGTATGTGCTGTATGCATGGAGATCATAAGGCCGTTGAAATTATGGAGTTATACCTTAGGATTTCAGACATCTTTTGATCTGTTTTAATCATACCAAATTTTAATTTTATTTTGTGTGTGTGTGTTGAGTCTTTCAAAACATATAAGTGATCTTGTTTCTCAGGAGCTAGCTGAACTAGCCATGGGGACTTTCAAACACATAGGTCGGATTCGATCAGCACGTATGATTGGTCGAGATTTAGCAGCTTTTTACCTGCAACTGGGTGAGATGCAGAAAGCAGCCGTGTTTCTTACTGATGCACTTAAAACATTTGAAGAAGAAAACTGGAGACAGTTAGCTATAGAAACACAGCTTGAACTAGCTGACTGCTACAGAAAAATGGATGACAAGGAAAGGTAGGCAGCATTTCTGCTGGAGTAGCTAAAGTTTAAAGTGCCTACAGGTGTGGTTGAAAAAACAGGTTAATATGAAGATTGTTGTCTTCTGGGTTGTTGCTTCGTGTAGTCTGTGTGTGATGAATCATCGCCCTGATGACAGAGGCAGCATGACCTCTGAAACTTTGGTGGACATCTACACAGCGCAACAACCCAGAAGACAGCAATCTTCAGACTCACTGTTGCGAAAACCTCATATCTTACAGGTTCATATTGTTACCACACCAGTTGTTTATTTTGAAGACCCTGTACCTTACACATTTATTTTAAGAGAATGTACCTATGTAAACACCTTTGTTTGAAGTGCAGTTTGATTCAGTATGTAACATGTGTCTGAGGAGGTTATTTTCAAAAAGTAACCAATATGTATGAAGGCAGGTAGTGTCTGTTTCACGCTTGAAGTAACTGAATACTTTATACACAAACTGTGTGATGTTGATTGCCTCATGAGGGCACATGGCAGTAGTTATGCTGCCATCATTTGTGTTGGTCACTTTGGAACATTGGAAATCAAAGTTATGGTAACCACGTAGATAGCATCATAACCTGAAACACCGCAGTCCTGTTTCATTTAATGTCCTGTTCTTTTGTGTTCTTTGTGATAACTGTTTTAACTATTTTATAGGTTTATCAAGACATGTACAGTAATTGCCAGTGCTCCTGAATTAAATTTGTCCACAAGAATTACATATTTTGATGAAATGATGAATGTGTTGGAAGAATTACGGACAGGTAAATGTAATTTACAGTAACATCCTTATGTTTTAGTATGAAAAGATTTCTGTTTTAAGTAGGATGACACAGTGACAATGTATCTGACTCATGTTTTGTTTATAAAATTGTCAGTTACATTAATGTTCTGTTTTCCCAAATTTTTACCACAATTTGTCAGAGTTCAGAGACAGACTGAGAGAGTAAACAAACAGTGCAGCCAGAAGACACTTTCTTTAAAAATACCTCATAAAAAGAAACTGTGTTAGAGATAATACTTTTGTGCAGGTGAATTGAAAAATATTGTTTATTTTAAATTGACTCATTTGCTTACAGGCATATAAATATTAGTTTAATGCTGCGTACCAAGTGGCTATATCGCTAAACACAAGTGTTTTACAATTGAGAAAACGTATGTTTTGTAATTCAATACATATATAAGTTCCTTTGTACAATGATCTATGACAGTTGAGTAATTAAGTACCAGTAACTCCCCAACAGTGAAACCAGAAGGTTCGGGTGTGGTAATATTGCGATCCTGGAACAGTTGTTTTACAACATATACCCCTACACTTTGTCTAAGGTAAGTTACCGCTATACTTTTCAGTCTTCTAAGTGGTTCCGCCCTCTGCAGATTTTGTATCTGTTTTGTGTTTTCCACCATTTGAGCTTATGTCTAGCCTACCAGAACATGCCCTAACACCACCACATGATTATAAATCTTGAAGTTCCTTGTTATGTCATCATCTTCCTGTCAGCGACGATTAAACTATGGTGCATGGGCTGGATCCAACACACGAGAGCTTTTTTTGGGGTGCTTTGAGATTTTTTTAATTTCTAATACAATGTAGCAAAGTCTTTTCCCACAAGAACATAAGAAGCCAGGAGGTCTATTACAGGTAAGTTTTGCCAATAACAGTTGATAACTGAATTACACTGTATTCAAAGACATTTGTCTGAAGGACAGTATGTAACTGTGTATCAGTGACATCATCATCTTTGCTGGAATTTTGCTGCCCATTATGTTTTTAAAGCATAGGTTTATGTACAATTCTTGTGGAAGTAGTCAAAAGTACTGGGGTGATGTATTACCGTCGGCTAAACACACACCAAGATCAGACTCCATCTACAAAGTACATTCCTCTCAGGAGCTGACCTTTAGTAATGTCTTTTTCCACACTGAACCAGCAAAACTGTCATTAAGAGTGGCATATTGTCCTTGAGATTTTGATAAGAAAATAACACTTTCATTTTACAATTGTTTGTTGGAGATATTGCTTTTATCATTTATTTATCTTCAGAAGTTGTTTTTTATAGTGTATATGGAAGGAGTGTTAAAGGCTGGCCATTTTTGGTGACATAGGTAAAACAGAATGTCTATTTTTGGCACTTGTAATGGCTAATAATAGTCAGTGGGTCTTGGATAACAGATTTTTTTCTTGTGTAATCACAGAGTGTTCATGAAGTTTTGCAGTTTGGGTAGAAATACAAATTTTTTGGAAATTGGTATTTGTCGGATGTTATACAGTAGTGTAAATATTTTTTTTATCTCATAAACAGTGTGAACAGTTATCCTTTTAGTGCAAGGAGATAGAGAAAAATAGATAGTGAATGCAAGAATTTTAACAAGATTTGGCAAGAATATTATTTCTTCACTGATGTGAGGTCTATAACTATGTGTCTAATTTTCAGTGATACAGTTTCTGCATTTAGGGCATTTAATCTAAACCCCATTTTTTTTTAAAACTGATATTGTTCGGATTTATCTTCTGATGCAAGAACCAGGAAAGCTAAGGAACTGATCTTGAACCTGAAAAGACAAGATGTATGTACATTACAGAACATGATGTAGTAAGTGGTGACTTAAGCAAGTTTTTGGTGTCAAAGCATAACCATTTTTTGATGTTGAATTTGTGAAATGTGTGTGTTACATGTAGCTGAAGGTGTTTGGCTGGAAGATGTAGCTAAGTTTGAAATGTAAACAAGCTCATGAGAAGTGTTTATCATGTAGAAGAAATGAATTAGGCTTTGTGAACTCAGTTGATAGGAGACAGTTCAGAAATTCATGTTCTACTTCGTATCACTGGATGGCAGTACTGACCCAAGTAATACGAGTCACTTATTTTTATATGAGGTGTGAACAAAATACTTCGTGTAATCAGTGAATTCTTTGCCACAAAAGCTATGAATTTCACAACTGGCAAAAGAGTTGTATGAGAAAGTGCCGACTAATCTCAAACAATATGAGATACTGCCAAACAAGCTAGTATGATAACTGGTGAATCACCTTTTCTGAGTTTTAAAAACCTGAGCCTTTGTGAAGAAAGCAGATTGTCCTGATCTGCAAATATTGTTTTTCTTCTACATTATTCACTGGAAGATTCTGTGGAAAGCTGTTCACAAAGTGAACCAATTGATAAACTCAGTTATAGAACGTATAAATTCAATGCAAGGAAGGGTACTGAACCACGGGTAGTTCATATCCCTGCTGGAAGATGCAGGTGCTGAGCGCACAAATGTACTGTACCATTCCTGAGTTCAGTGTCTAAGCTTAAGCAAAACCCTCAAGAAGATAATTTACGGATGGAAGTAATTATGTGTTTGAAAATTAGATCCAAAGTCCTAGTATTTTCACAGCTGAAAGATGAAAATTGGAAAACTGATTTGGTATTGCTGGTTGGTATCATGAAACATAGATAATTCTTCAGGGGAAAGACAGCCATATATGTGATTAATATACATCTGTAGAAACTTTCCAAACAAAGTTGCTTTTGAAGATTTCTGTCTTCTGGGTTGTTGCGCCATGTAGTATGGTAGATGTTTACCAACGTTTTTGAGGTCATACTGCCTCTGTCATCAGGGCGTGCTTTTGTTTTCATAACAATTTGAAGGTAATAAATTTATGCATTTTTGCTTTCTACAAACCAGGCATGTGAATTTTAGTGCAGCCACTAAGTACAGTGATATTCTGCTTAGCTGCATGAAGAGTTCTGTCATGGATTTCAAGATTTCAGAAAAACAGAAAATGAAATTAAGTTATTGATTTCTCTTTCTCCCTTTGATGTTGGGAAAGCTCTTCAGCTGGATCTCACTAACCTACAGAGTGACACTGAACTAAAATAGAAGTTCACTTTCCTGAAGCATGCTGAAATTTGTGGACTGCTAAGTGAGTTAATGTACAGTAATTTGAAGGATTTCAGAAGGAAACTTTTACATACATTTTTTAATGTACATTCTCTCCATTGAAAAGGAACAAGTACAGGATCATGGCACAAATAAGAGATGAACTTTTGAGTGCAGTTTTTTTGAATTGCGACGTTTACTCCCAATATTGAGAATCTTGTTAGTAACTGCAACCAGCATCATATGCCACTAATGTGGTGAGTACTGGCTATATTTAGGTCAGTTATACTTTTATGTTTCTTAAAAAATATTTAACTCTGTTGTGTTGACCACCTTCCAACCTGACAAAATAGCTGTAACCTTTTACCCATGCCTGATTAGGCCATGTGATCTGTTGCAGTTGCATATCGTCTCTTCAGTGGTCATCCGAGTCTAGGCTTACGTGCCGTAATTTGTTAGGTAATCTGCTGTTTTCCGTTCTTTTTACATATTGTTTCCAATTTTGTATAAATATGATAACTGATTGAATATTATTTTTTTAAAATGTTTTATATTGTTTATGACATAATAGTTTGTAGCCTGCAGTTCTTAAACATTTAATTTCTGATGTTGCTAATTTCTTTTTATCTGCTTTTCTGATAATTCAAATTCCATTTCCATTTGCCAACACAAGTCTTTCCACAGTTAGTGTTGTATACTTTTGTACGACCTTGGGTTTGGATACCTGATTCATTGCTGAAGTCACTTGCATACATTTTGATTGTTTTAACATTCTTTCTGCCTTCATATATAATGCAGCCGTGATAACTATGTAATGTCATAAATGCCTCATTTACTTCATCCCTCTTAGATCCGTATATTTTCCTGAGCACTTTATTTTCAGATGCTTGTAATTTATGTTCTTCTCTTAGAATAATGAACAAATTTTCTTCTTCCTGGATCCCAATAAAAATGCTTCATTAACTTTCTGTTTCTCTCTGCTTTTATGCACTAATTTTAAAAGGATAATTGTTAACACTGTTTGTAAGGAATAATATATTTGATCTATTGCTTAACATTCAACAGATATTAATTTACCAATATGTGTTTATGTATATTGATCTTAGTGTTTTGGAAAGTATATTTGAAGATAAGTGCATTTAATGACAAAATGACTGTCATTGACAGGGAACATGTCGTACTGTACTTTATAAAAATTAAGATAGTTTTCTGATGGATCCATTTTCATGGTAGAAGTCACATATCTTACCAGTGTGAATTGTAATTTGATATTTCAGAGTCACCGCTAATAACTTCATTTACTGATGCATTTAAATTAGTGAGTTTGGAAGTGAGCCAGCATGGCAATAAAGTTATTATACAAGACTCGACTGTAGAAGTGAATGTAGTGATTGAGAGCCGCTTTCCCAAGCTGATCCTCTGTATCAACGCTGCAGTCTCTGTAGAAGGAGTAAAGGATGGAAAAAGGCAAAACGATTTGCCTAATCCCCGTCCACAAGAAGTGCCTGCAGAGAAAAGACAGGGCAGTGGCGGGAAGAAACAGCAGTCAATTCAGTCACAACGAAATGACACAGGAGACGCTCAACAGCTCAGGTAGGAACATTTCACAACCCACAGACAAATTAAATTTGAATGCATGTGCATAGTAAAACAACAGAGAATAAATACATTTTTCTGTGTGTATCTTGTATTTCAGTGTTCTTCATTATAATTCAGTGCAGGTGATTACTAATGTTTTGGTGAAACTTATGTCTCCATCTTCAGGTTGGATGATGATGATGTCATTTATCATGAAGGTAGAGGTGGTGATGATGTTACCTCTGAAGTTGGAGTCAATCTGTTCCTCTGAAACATTGGAAACTACTAATAAGATTGCACGGTGTCATAACCCATGGCAGTTCAGAATGTTTGCTTTAATAGAGCACAAAGATGGCGGTATTCTGGGTTATTGTGCCATGTAGTCAGGTAGGAGTTTGCCATCGTTACAGAGGTCCTTGCTGCCTCCATCCCGATGATAAAGGCAGCAGGATGTGTTCAGATACAGCCACCACAACAGCTCATTTACTATGCAGGAACCACTATTTTATGCAGCTTTAGTTTATTTTAATTGTCAACAGGGGATTATACACCTCTGGTAATATGTAGTTGGCACTTCCACGTTACTTACCATTTAGTCTCTGTGCTTGTTTGATAGGCCGCATTGTTCAGATTCATGTCTCACGTCTTTTTGTCAAGTTACAACGAGTGATACTTTGAGTTCAACTGAACCTTCTTTACACTTTACAGCTTTATTCAGAGCATTGGATATTGCACGTTCTTTGATAGTGTTATTCAAAACATTATTGTGTGTATGTTCTAACCTAGTAGGTAGTATCAGTAAGTTATCTATTTCTTGACTTTTATCAATAGTGCACAGTCTACATACAGATCTTACATTATTTTCAAAACCATTTGTTTTCAGGTCTACAAAATGTGTGTTGGACACTAGAACTTATATGCAGTGTCACTAAATTTGCTGTGAAACTTGGTTTGGAGTTAAGACAGATTAATTCAGTTGGAAATCTGAAATATAAGTATGAAAAGGAATTTTAATTTGTGCTCTTCACATTACAGTAGCAAAATCCAAGAAGTTTATGATGTAATTGTTGGTCTTTAGGGTTGTAATGCTATGTGATACCTGCAAGTCCACATGGCATTACTACCCACTACTCATCATCATAAGAAACTCAAATATTGTAAATTTATGATGTATTGGATATGAAGAAAAATGCATATAGAATTTTGGTGAGGAAATTTGTTGGAAAGTAACCATTTTATAACCCAAGAATGAGATTGGTGAATAGTATTAACATGGATTTTAGGGAAATAGATTGAAAATATGGGAGGTGAATGTTGCTGAGTAAAAGTAATCTTAACTGATCAACTTCAGTATTAGTCAGTAAACCTTTGGTTCTCTGAAACATTACTGGTATGTGCTCATCAAATTCTCTTGGCCAACACGTTTTTGTTAGCAGGTGCAACAGTGAGGAAATGAAACCAGTGAATCCAGCTCTTGCCAGACTACACATGGTGGAGCATCTTGATTACAAGCAGGACAAGAGCCTTAGTTCTGCTAGTATAGTCTCGAAGAATCCCAAGCAGTTTCTTCGGTAAGGCGGCATGTGGTAGATGGTATAATATAGGTTGAAACAGAACTCAGGAACAATAAATCTGTGCTTGTACCTATACTAGTACCACACAAATCCAGAGCTGCATGCAGATGTTCCTAATGGTGTTTCAGGCATGTCACTTTGCCCCATTCAAACACTTATTATAATGCAGGTGGCTGTGGGTCAGAATGAAGTGTCATTAATCCTGTGAATATGTCAGGGCACTGTTTAAGAGGACAAGCTAACAAGATAATATTCCGCATTGCAAATCACTTGATCGAAGAAGAAAAAAGACTTCACATGTATTGTTAATTATGTGGATGCCATCGCTGAAGCAACTGGTGTCTAAGTTCTATTCCAAAAGAAGGCGGAAATTGTTTGCTGTGCTCATAAAAGCACATTACTGTTTTTAACAGAAACTTAAAGATTTCTTTGAAACTGGTATAAGAAAAGCTTTTCCTTTTCTTATGTTGATGTGTGTCTAATTTCAGACGGACAAATAGTCATGGGAAATATAGAAAAATATCGAGTACACCAAAAGGAGATTTTTCATCAGCGTTAGTAGCTGAAAACATTATACTTAAACCTGGAAGGAATGAATTTGTGGTGAAATCAAAGGTATGTCAGAATTCAATAATGTGTGTAAGGAGGTGCTGTAAGCATTTCATATTTACATGGAATATTAACTGTTATGAACAGTTTTTAGTCCGGTCAGTGAATCAATTGTCTGACAGACTGTTTTTAAATACTCAAAGTACTTCATCTAAATAAATTACACACTATACACGAGGTTGCTTTCCTGTGAATCACCATGTATATCAAAACTATATAAAACAGGAAGCATAACATAGCCATGGATTTTTTAAGTGCTATGCCATGAGAGACCATCATTTTTGTGTCCAGAGTCAAGATGGTGGGACGAGTCAGAGAAACTGTACTTGCAAGTCAACAGGCCTGCACAGCAGCTTCTACCATGGCTGCAGATAGATAATTGATTTTCCTCATGATACTGAAATGAAACTGCTGATATGTGAAGATGCAGATGGCAAAAGCATGTGTAACAATATTTGCCTATACAAATGTATGTTTTTGATAATTTTTTTATGGCATAGGCTCAGGAGAAAGGTTTGTACAGGCTGGGTCAGCTGTCCCTTCTGGTAGCAGACAGCCTGGAGTTTCTGTCTAGCACCATCAATCCTCGTGTGAGTTTTGAAGTGATGAGAGAGCCATCTTCTGTGATCCTCAACAAAGGAGAGAAAGACTTGTTAGCAGGACTTGAGCAGGAGATGGTCCTGACAGTTTCTGCAGGCAGCTACACTATTGGAGAGGTAAAGGTTTTAACTGAAATATGAACAGTTTGTTATGACCCATCTCACAGACTTTGTCCATTATTCCAGTTTTTTGAACACCCAACATGGTAGGATTTTTTTTAATTACAAGAATTTTCCAAAATGTGACTTTAAAAACTGGAACAGTGGACAAATTCAAAGAAAGTAAAGTATTCTGATTAAAATAAAATTGAATTAATATTGTATTGTTGTTGCTGATGGTCACTGTTTGAAATCTCCACTGACAACTGATCCACACATCTTGACAATAAGGATTTTGGGTCATTTATGTTCCACAAACAGAGCCCTAGGAGAAGGAAAAAACTTTGAAAATTACTAAAATATGCTTTAAATGGTTAATGAATAACCATCTTTCTATTTGTATGATCTGAAGCTTTCATGGCCACTAAGTGTAATGAATTCTTCTCGGGCTACCAGCCGTGGAAGGTGGTTTAATGAAGAAAATACAAACATCTTTCTACTTCACTGTTTAATCTTACTGATTCATATCTGAGTATTTAGAAATGTATATAAATTAGGATTAGATGAGCTTGTGGTAAAGTGAACGTAACATATCAACTGGAAGAGCATGATATAGATGTTTAATCATATGAACTCTGCTAAATACTACATGCATACATGTTTCAATTAACCAAACAAGTTTCTTGGATATTCTCATTTAAGTTCAAAATAATATTTTACTACATTTCTCTCCTAACTCTTTCATTTTTTGTCTAATATTTATTGAATGAAAAGATTTGACTGATTAAACCAGAATCCATGTTGATAGTCACCAATAATGTCGTCCGTTAATGGTGTTAAATGTGTCAGAAAATGTTTTCACTGCCGTGAAGTTAGAGGTAGTACATTCTTCCAAAACTCTAATAACTGCCCACAAGACTACATGGTTACATGGTGTCACAACCCAGAAGACCACGACATTTATATCAGATAATGAAGTTTTGAACAATAGATAATACCTAATAATACTTTATTTTTGGTTTGAGGTGTTATAAGATAATCAGATATACTAAGACTGCCACAGAAAAAAGAGTCTGCTTTGTGTAACTTTTGAATTTATATTGAAGCAGACATTCCATATACTTTTTATCAATGGAATAAATTGCATTCTGTATTGAATATGACATTACTTCTGTTAATTTATATTAAGTTGACAACATATGAGTAATTAAAGGAATAAGTTTGTGTATTTCATATCCTTACAGAACGTGTGCTTAAGACTGCGCACATCGAGAGGCCTACAGATGCAAGTGAAATCAAGTGAAGAATCTCTTACTAGGGATTTGGAAGTGCCTTTGCCTCAATCAGAACCTTTTCAGACTCTGTCAATTCTTCTACGTGTACTAGCAGAGCTTCCACCTCAGAAAGATGCAGGCACTATAGAACACAAAGCAAGTATTTTTTACATACAAGTAACTAATTCTATGGTATTAAATTTGTGATGGTTCGAGAGCCCCAACACAATAGTTTTTCATTCCTCTTTGTCCCAGTGTTTATATTATTTTCTCAAGGTAAGGCAGCTGGAGCATGAAGCAAACTACTTGCCTCAGCCTAGTGCTGGCATTAAAATATATGGAGCGTTTCCTCCACTTCCCATACATGCCTTCCTTGTACATTGTTTAGCAATAAGGGTAAAAAGTAAAGTAAAGTAAAGTTTGTCCCACTATACGCCATTTAGGCGTTTGGGGTGAGAGGAGGTATAGCTCCTCTCTTCCTTGACCTCGGCACTAGATGGGGGTGAGTGGTCAGCATCACGCCCCGGCCGGCTTTACCCCCGGGAAAGGACCCTGGTACCCATTGTAGAGGAGGCTAGGTGGGCCCCAAAGCCGGTCTGGACGCAGAGGCTAGAGGAAAAGTCCTCTGCCCCCGTCGGGGATCGAACCCCAGTCATCCAGCTCGTAGCTAGTCACTATACTGACTGAGCTATCCCGGCTCCCTAGCAATAAGGGTAGCCATACTAAATAGCCAGATCTTGTGTTCTAGTGGCAGTGAAATGTTAAAGGTCACTTTTAAATTTATAAGAGAAGTTTGTATATGCTTACAGTTTCTTGCTTTCTAATTAAGAATATTCTTGCTGAGCTGAATACATAAGCTGCCACTGGCATGTGTCTTACTTACAGGTAACATTGCAGTGTCCCTGGAAACCTGAAGAAAAGAACATCGCACTCCACTTCCAACCACCATTAATGTCTTCATTCCGCCTTCATACTGCATACACGCGCAAATTTGTGCAGATCCTTGTCATTGGACTAAATGTTCAAATGCTTGAGCTCACAGAACCGACACTCACTCTCACAGGAAACCAAGATGTCAGGCTGGGGTCTCTGAATCCAACCAGTGGACAGAAACTGGCAAGTTCATCTCACTATTTTCTGGAAACATTTTTTGCTGTCTACAGAGCTGTAAATATTCCCACTTCATGCAGATACTCTTATGCTAAAGTAAATTACAATAATGGAAAATGGATGGAACTGACAGGATTGTGTCTAGAGGTTGGCAGTGTTGATCCTTCAGAGTCTGCTTCAGGTTGATAGCCATGCAGACCAAAACACAAACCATTTTACTTGCATTGTTACCCTGAAACAGTGTTAGGTTTGTAGGATTTGAGGTTTTCACGGCGGTGAGTCTGAAGATTATTGTCTTGTGGGTCGTTGCGCTTTTTCTACCGGACTACACGGCACAACAACCCAGAAGACAGCAATCTTCAGTGTTCAGTTTGCAGATCTCAGTGCATGGATGCTGTTTGTTTCAGATTGTGGGCAGTGGCCTGAATGTGTCTTTCATGTGGCAGTTGGATGTAGGCGGCGTAGAGGACACGTGTCCTATAAAAACTGAATTTAAAGTACACTACAGTCCAATCATTAACCTTACAAAGCTTGTCAGTGAAGATGAGACCCAGCTGTATCGATGTAACTTTGACATCAATGACTACAAGGTATGTAGGATTTGAAGTTTTCATGGTGGTGATTCTGAAGATGGCTGTCTTCTGGGTTGTTGCGCCATGTGGTCTGGTAGAAGTTTCAGAGGTCCTTGTTGCCTCCATCATCAGGCAACAAGGACTTCTGAAATGTCGGTAAACTTCCACCAGACTACACAGCGCAACAACCCAGAAGACAGCCATCTTCTTTCTACAAGGTATGTTTGTATTCCAATGTGAATTAATTTTGTACCTTGTAAAAATTTGTGATATGAGCTGATCAGATATTTTTAAAGATGATTTTTACCATAAAATAAATTAAGAAGTAATGAAAGAACTATACATTTTACAGATAATGGATTGTATACAACAAATTGGAACAGCCATGACTATAGGGATGCATGTATGCTTGGTGTGGTCCAAGTAAATGTTGAGGTCGCAGAGCTTAATTTTACTCAAGGTCTCTGTTCATTGTTCATGACCATAGTTCTTCCAGTTTGCGTGTTATGCCACAGGCTAGCCTACTATACAGCTAAAACACATGCTTTATCGATACTTGGAACTGATTTCCAAGATTGAACGAAGTAATCAAAAGTCGGGATGGAATACTGTAAAATAGTGATGAAAGAGAGTTCTGGAAAGAATTTATGATGCATACTTTCCTTTCACGTTTACTAACAGAATTACCACATTGTGTGTTTGGCCATCTCGTAATGGAGGAGGTAGGTAGGTTTGTTTACTCTACCTCTCAGACATTCTGTGACATGTTATAAATTCCAGAATGTGAACTGTCTTACCCTTGAATTTGTAGATGTACGGTGTGTCCACAAAGTCCCTTCGGGGTTTTGAAAAATTGTGGCGCGCAAACAAATTGAGCTAGCCACATGCGGTTTGTGGCAGATTACAGTGAAACTCTGGACGTTTTCCGTGCTACCAAGGGAGCCCACATTGAGGTCTACTGAGGTCAGTAAAAAATTTCCAGAGTTTCACTGTAATCTGCTGCAAACCGCATGTGGCTAGCTCAATTTGTTTGTGCGCCACAATTTTTCAAAACCTCGAAGGGACTTTGTGGACACACTGTACAGAGGTTGTGTTAACTGTGCCCTACAGATCAACAGCTGTAAATAGCTATGTAAAAAAAATTGAAGTACAGTCAGTGCAGAAAACCATACAAGAGAGAGTCACAGCTAATTAGGAATCACTCATTATGATGATTATACTAGAATAAAGCACTGACTTTATGCAGCACTTCCCATACATATAAAAAACGTTAACTAGTTGACAATGCTGAAGATCCTTCTCATGATAATGAAGTTCTTGTAAGCCATACTCTTTCTATCACGGTTATATCTTACTTGATTACCAGTGTTTCAGAGGAACCTGCTTCATGGAGTCTTATTGTATTTCCTTGTGCTTCCATTAGACTTTGTTTGTGGTGAAGTCTCGTGTTGAACCGACAAAAGGCAGTGAGTTCTGTCGAGCAGGAACGATGTGCCACCTGCAGCTTGATGTGCAACGAGTCAATGCCAGCTCTCACAGTTCATTGATGTATGAGGTGTTGGCAGACCAATCCATGTGGGCTGTGTGTGGCAGGACGGCAGGTAAGTCAAATATGTCCGGATATCGAAATTTTAAGGGTAAAACTTCATCTCATGACGCAGGTTAGCGTTTCAATTGTATTATGGTGGTACCTAGTTCAACTTTTGGCCGTAGCACTGGCTGCCATAACTGAGGTTTTTGTGCTCATTGTCAGGATTATACTGTAACTTCACTGTCATAATTCTCTTTTATACTAAAAGCAAATGCAGTTCAGAAAGCACTGTTAAATAAGCCAAGAATCAGTCTGTTTAATGTACATGGTTGTTCTCTTATCTTATGTTCATTAACATATCTTATTCTAAATATTACATATAGTTGATACATCATTGTTAAGCCAAGTAATTACTACTTCAAACTTTACATTTACCCCATAAAGACATACTGAGCAGTGCATTATTCTTTTTTTTTATATCAGTCTAATTGTCTGATGCAGGTTTACCTAGATGAAGTTATGAATCTAGTTTTGCATTCATGTGTCTCCTTAATTTAAAATAGTCATATTTGAACAACTAATTGACATTCTGTAGTCCAACCAAAAATCCTCTGATTATTTATGAAGGCATTATAACAGTTTACAGCAGAATTGGCAGCTGAAGCGTGCACCAATCACATGTACGAGGTGCGATCGGAAAGTTTCAAGACTGCGCCTATAAAAACCCGTACACTTATCTCAGGTATTAAATTCATCCATCACCCTCGAAGTAGTTCCCCTGGGAGTGAACACAACGATCCCAGCGCCGCTGCC